CCATGCTCAGGACAGCCGCGCGCACATCTGCTGTGTGCAGGTAAAGGGAGGTGTGCGCACGCAGAGATTGCGTGCCTAAAGGAATAGGTGAAGCGTTTCCCCTGTGTAGCGTTTGCTAACCTTCGTTTTCTTCCATCCAAACGCTCCTTCCCGGCTGATTTCTGAGATCGCATTTTTCTGCACGTCCTCCTGTATTGCTTTCCAGCCATGGGCAAGGCACTGGGCAGGCCAGTGCCCCAAATACAGCTTCCTTACAGTCTTAGAGACTGTATGTGGCTTTACTCGGAAGCTAAACACACGGTAGCTGGTGGGTTTGGGTCCCCCCCCCCCATGAGCAAGATTCAAAGTGAGGTTCAAGATAGGGATGTCTTGAATGTCTCTGTGGGTAAGGATGGCACGGGAGTGCAACTAAAGAGGAAGCGGAGAGATCATAAATGAAGTTTCCAAGATAGGTAGTAAAATACAAAGGGAATACCCTCCCCACAGACATTGTATAATCAGTGGAAATGTTGTGGTGCTTCAAATGTTGCTGCATTGCAACTCCCAGGAGCCTAAATGGTATGGCCGTGAAAAACATTATGAGGTTAATTGAGTCATAGTTATGTTGGGTTCCAGATTCCCCACCCCTGCTTTAGGGCATACTGTAAAAGCAGCCAGAAATTAAGACTCTAAATGATGCTTCAGCTATCCATTTTACATGGAAGTGAGTGCAGGCTGCAAGTTCAGCTGGGGATACATCTAGGACAGAGCGCATAGACGTTGTGAGGGCCTGAGATCGTTGTATGCAAGAAATGCATGTTTAGAAATGCTTGGGAGACAGATCTGGCTGTGTTCCCAGGGTATTTATTTATCTCATTTAGAAACTTTGTTTTATGCTACCCACTCCCTTAACAGCTCTGGGTGGCTTACGTAAATGCAATAAAAATGATCACAAAAGCTAAAGCAAAGCCCCAAAAATGGTAAAACACTAAAAAATGAAAACAGTAGGCATGCTATAGAGGAAGATGCATATAGTTTTGGTCCCTTCTTAAGCAATATGGAAACGGCCTGCTTTGTTCCATAAGATGGGGGGGGCAGAGAAGAGTTAACTTTTTTATATCAGACACATCTATGTCAAGGCTTGAAAGGGTGCCTTATTGATGTCCTAGAATTGCAAGTGGACTATGGAGGAATACCCTGTCCTGATTGTGCCTGGGCCTAAGCTATGTATATTTGTCACAAATGATTTGTGTATATGTGCTGGAGAATGTCCACTGGACACTGTGTATTGCTATGATAGTTATAGGCACCACAATAAGGCATCAGGTTGTGACTGATTCTGTGTCATCAAGTCAATGTGGACTCTTAGTGACAACGTAGATAGATCTTGGTGCTCTCTGAGCTTGGTGGTTTGCTTGCAGATGTTTCATTATCCTAGTTGGGTAAAGAAATGTCTGCAAGCAAACCACCGAGCTCAGGGAGCACCAAGGACTCCACAGTTCAGCCCTGAGCTAGATACATTCTCCTCTGTTGTAGACAGATTTTCTCCAAAAGAATCTGTTCCCAGTGTGGTCCTTTAGTTCTCCCAAAGGTGCATCCATGTTGGTGCTGGTCATCATCATCTTCTATTTCCTTCCACCTTTCCCAGCATTACATTGAGAGAGAGAGAGAGATCTTTGCATAATGCATCCAAAGTAGGATAATTGGAGCTTGGTTATTTATGCCTCAAGTTAGAACTTTGGGTTGATTTGTTCAATTGATAATCATCTGGATCAGTTTTTTCTCTTGTGGTAGTGCTGATAAAAATCTTTTCTTCTGAGGTAATTTTTTCATGGAGAGGATGTTTCCCAGTAACACTGGGAGGATTTTCATTAAAGCAGGTATCAGCTTAGGAGGATTAATTCTTCTTTAGACAGCAGTAGAATAGTTAAACTCCCCTCTCTGACTGCTGCTGTCTCCCTCCCACAATGCTATTTACGTTTTCCTTTAACTTGTGCAATAAAGGTAGTGGGGTGTTTAACTTCCTGTCTTGTTTGTCTGACCTTTATCTAAAATACACCCAGGAGACAGAACCGCTTAGTAGGAAAGAGAAAAAAAATGGTGTTTTACCTGTAGTCTGTTCTGAGGAGTAGGGGGAAGAAAAGCTGAAGGCAAGAGCTTCGTTTTGTTGTATAGATGTAGTGGTCACCAAATATTCCATCAGCAGGCTAAAAAGAGGATCTCTGTCTCCCCTCCCCCAGTTAATAATTCCTCAACATATTTAAATTTGTGTGGAGCTCAAAAACAATCCGTGAGCAAATGTCTGTGCTGTACAACTTAGAATGACCACTAGTGGGCAGTAAAGAAATTCAGAAAACTAACTCTTTGTAGCCATCTAGTGTTCATCCAATTTTGCAGCCTAGATCTGGTGTGCTAGTCCTCATTTGCCATCCAGTGATGACTGAACTTGGCCGCAACTAGTATTAAAGCTGTGGCCTGTTGACTTCTGTGACATGTTTCAATTCAGTTTAGTGATAATACATAAAGAATTGACATGTTGTGAGGGATTTGTTAAAATAGGTTTAAAACTTGGACAGTTGAATTATCCTTTAAATCCTCATGCATAGGTACCGTGTTCACACAGCATGCTTTATGCAGTGAAATGTTCTTACAGGTCAGTCTAGAAGCAAATAATCACATTAACAGTCAAAATCATCCTTATGGAAATAAAGTTCCTACCAATTTTCTCTAGAAAGTGTCTAGGATCCCACGGCCCTTTGGCCCAGAGAGTGTTCATGATGCCATTAGCGTCTGCTCCATGGTAGCCAGTATTTGGGAAGTGTGTTCTGTGCTGCTAAGTTTAGATGTGAATTCTGATTGGAGAGACTTTTTTCTTTCTTAGATGGTTGATTAACTGGGTTTATGTGTTTCCATGACGGGGTGATTAGTTGGAATTAAGTAAAACCTGGGTAAATTGAGTCTTCATTGGTTTAAATTTTAGGACTATTAAACACTTTGGACTCAGTTTCAAGAAAGTGCTTTAATGCATGGAGGACTGCAAATGTAAGATCTGTCTACAACTCTTTAAAGCAGCTATGTTTTTATACCTTTTTTTTCCCCCTGAACTCATATACAAAGCACTGCACATCTCTGGTAAATTTAAAGTCTGTTGTTGATTGGATCAGGTAACCTTTGTTGTGTGCCCCAAACAGCATTCACCTAGTTAAGTGTTTGCATTGTGGCAACAGAACCAGGCTCTTTTTAGGAGTTTGAAAGACTCAGAGGGTCAAAAACAGTAAGTTCATTTGACACCCCTGGACTTCTCATTGCATCATCTCTCAATCTGATATCTGTATTTGTAGGTGTGCATTTTTTAATCAAAATCAGTGCTCCAAGAATGGAAATATTTGGGATAACTATTGAGGTTATATTTTAATTGATTAGTTTGATTGTATGAATGAAATTATTGATCCATCCCTGAATTTGTAGGACCTTAGGGAAATATGCCAGTGCCCCCTTTAAAAAAGTTCCGGTTATGTACAAAAACTGGATTCTTTGTTTTTCTTTGTTGCTACTTAGGTTAATATCAGAATTTATGATTGCAGTGGATGACCCATAATGCTATAATTAGTATTAATGTCACATTTTGAGGAATACTTTGAGAGGCATTTTAGAAATAAGTCTTTAAAATCTTCTCATAGCCTGAAGAAATTCGTCAGGCAGGATTTTCCTGAAGAGAAGAAAACAGTGAAATGGTTCACTGGCTTTGATTTCTTCAAAGCTCTTTGTATAATGACATAAAGCAAAAGATTGTGGCTTTATCAAACCTAAAGATATCTCAGAATGTTTCTGGAGGGTTAGTTCTGTCTGCTACAGCAAAGCCATCAAAGAATCTTGAGACATTTTGAGAAATGCTATTTTTATTGTGGATATAAACTTTCATGGGTTATAGTCTACTTCACCAAATACAACTGATGGAGTGGGTTATTATAAAAAATGACTTTTTTAGGCTGACACAAATTTGGTATTCTGTTAAAAAATCTGGAAAATTTAGCCAGTTATGCTTTGAAGTGGACTTGACACATATAAATAGGTATGAATCTACCCTAAGCCAGTGTTAAGTATTATAAACAATTTATCTTTTGAGCAAGACTTCTACTGAAAACAATTATCTTAATCTCACTTCTAATCTAAAGAGCTTTAAGTGATGTACAATTACACGTGGTTTCTCCAGTTTATCTTTGCAACAACTCTGTAGAAGAAGGTTAGGTCAAAAATTGGTCACCACTGAGATTTGTGGCAAAACAAGAGGTTGCGATCCATTTTTCCTTGACTATATAAGTTTTCCAATCTCTTAAAAATGCTTAAGAGATTTAGAATGCCCTGTGGATTTACGCAGCTCCCCACTCCTTCCTTTCCCAGGCTAAATTTTGTGCTTTTCTTCTCAGTGTTGATTGTGGTATAGTTTGCTTGCACCAAATATAGTGATGGATTCCACTGTGTTT